ATAGACTGCAGACTTCTATCAACTGAATATAATAGCTTTAGCAAAATGCACTCTTCTCTTAATAAGTTAAATACATAGGTCCAATTATGTTCAGAAAGAATTTGGGATATTTTACAATGCAGAACACACTGTAAATGAACACTTCTGACCTGTAGAAGTACTTAACTCTAAACATAAATGATGCTCACTCTCTCTCTGCTAATGAAAGGTAACCACTGATAGGCAAGATAAAAGTGAAAAGCATTTCCAGTTTGTTGAACTTAAAACCTATGACACTGATAAATGGATATGCAAATTGTGCAGTCCTTTTTCGAGGCACAAGATATTTGTATTAGCATGATATTTATTTTGGATTCGAGCCCAATCCCTCTGTAGCAAGATTTATTGTAAATACCAAAGGCATATTCTCTTTCATTCAACAAGAATATTACTGGAAATAATTTCAGCGATATGAGTAAAGTGTTTCCTTATAAATTGTGAAATTGAATAACTAGGAAAATTGGTTCACTTCCAATAAAGAAGAAGTAAATACCTTTAATCACTCAAACGGATATATAGACACAGAAACATACATGACGTACACAGAAAAAAAGCACTCAGATAATTTTGGATTGTGTTAAAGGTGAAGAGACTGGATTTGAAAAGAGTTAAACAATTCTGCTCTCAGTTACACTGCCATAAATGCGGAATCAGTTCCCTGAACTAAATTGAATTGTTCCAGATTCATACTGAGTAACTGAGAACAGAATCCGACCTAAAACAGAGTGGAAAATATTCAATCAGTTTAGAGAGCTGGTCTATGCTTTTAGCTGCCCTTTACTGTACTGTGCATTGCAGGTATCTGTGTAGAACACTTTCCCATAGTGTCAGCACCAAACAGAGACTCAACAGGGCTAGGAATTTATTTCCACTTGTTGTGCCACTTATTTGCTGGATGATCTTGGGCAAGTCACTTCATTTCCATGTGCCTCAATTTCCCTGTGTGCAAAAAAATGGGGATATTGATGCTTACATCCTTTGTTCAGCGCTTTGAAATCTATCAATTAAAATCCATATGGGAGTCAGGAACTACTATTATCATGATCTGCATTGGGATTATCTCGCCCAGCTCATGCAGAAATGATAGTGAATCTTTGACAGGCTGAGGTCCATGACCTTACTAATATTCGGCAAAATCTTTCATTTCTTAATTCTGTCAATGGTCTCACTATAATCATAAGAACAGCCATACTGGGTCACACCAATGGACTATCTAGCCCAGTGTCCTGTCTTCTGACAGTGGCCAATGCTAGGTGCCCCAGAGAGAACAAACGGATCAGGTAATCATCAAGCGATCCATCCCCTGTAGCCCATTCCCAGCTTCTGGCAAACAGAGGCTAGGGACATCATCCTTACCCATCCTGGCTAACAGTCATTGATGGACCAACCTCCATGGATTTAGCTAGTTCCTTTTTGAACCCTTCTATAGTCTTGGGCTGCACAAGATCCTCTGGCAAAGAGCTCCACAAGTTGGCTGTGCATTTTGTGAAGAAACACTTCCTTTTCTTTGTTTTAAACCTGCTGCCTATTAAATAAGTCAGTTTGGGTATTTTATCCATACCTATGAATCTGCCTGGGACTCTTCTACGAATCTGATTGCTCCGAGTGTTTTCTGCTTCAATCACAATTGTTGACACTATGAGGGAAGCATCCTCTTCATCATAATTAGCTCCTGCTTGGAGATAACTCCATTTCCTCTTGTGAAGACATTTACAATTGACATTTTGAACAACTCCTCATAACTTTGCTGCTTCAGAGTTATGAATGCAGGGCCTGACAATTCACACTGTACTCAACGGAATGGTTCCCATGGAGTTCTAATAGCCTTTTTCATCATACCCTACAAGGATTTAAGACGCTTTTTGCGCACTAGACAATTTTACTCATGTTAATCACGTAACCAAACCAGCAGTTTTATCATAGGAAGGCATATCCATTAATTGCTGCATCGGAGAATGGTCCAAGGCCAAATGAAGGCAAGGGAGGCACTCATTCTATTCATTTCAGTGATCTTTACATCACACCCACAGTAATAGATTTTTTTTTGCCTTAGATACACATGTCCCCCAGTCACCATAATATCTGAGCATCTCAATTTTTTATTGCATCTATCCTCACTACACCCCGGTGAGGTAGGAAAATTCCCTTATCCCCATTTCACAGCCTGAGAACTGAGGTACACCTATGGGAGTTGGGTGCCTTGGTGCTTCAGAAAATCCCTGTTAATGCCTCAATATTTGGAAAACTGCGGTCCCCGGTGACTTTCCCCAGGTGACACAGGAAGTCTGGAACAGAACAGGGAACCAAGCCTGGGCATGCCGGGTCCCAGGTGAGCACCCTGACTCCTGAGTGATCCTTCCTCGCTTCCTTGGACCACGTTCTGAATCCCCAGGCAGGTAAATTGGGCTCATTAAGTGAGGAGGTTTTGTGTGTCACCAGGAGGGGGATATGCAAATAAGGGGACAGTTTCCTGTTTAAATCTACAAAAAACACAAGGAGTCCGGTGGCACCTTAAAGACAACACATTTATTTGGGCATAAGCTTTTGTGGGTAAAAAAAACACATGCCCAAATAAATCTGTTAGTCTTTAAGGTGCCACCGGACTCGTTGTTTTTGTGGATACAGACTAACATGGCTACCCCTCTGATTATCATGCTATTATATAAATCAGTACTTTCTTCTCATCTGCAATACTGTGCTCAAGACTGGTGACACTATCACAAAGAGGTAACTGTAGAATTGGTGGAAGTTCAGATATGAGCCACAAGAATGATTAGGGGCATGGAAAAAACTCTGATAAGAAAAATGATTGATAAGAGTGGGACTGTTTACTTTTAGTGAGGAGACAAATAAGAAGGGACATGACAAACATATGCAAATAATGAATAGTCTAGAAAAGCTGCATCTAGAAATTCTGTTCTCATCTGATAATGCAAGAACAAGGGGACAATGAATTTGTATATTCCAAACTTATAGAAGGAATTACTTATTCACAAAACTAATAGTTAGAATGTAGAACTCACTGCCATGTAATGATGTTGAAACCAAGCATTTAGCAAGATTCAAAGAGGGATTGGACATGTATATAGATAACAAGACTATTCCGAGTTATAATAGAATGTATGTTTAAAAACTTGAAGGGACATAAAATCTCAAACTTCAGGGTTAAAGTCGATCTTTGACTACTGGAGGTTAGGAGGAGATAACCTTGGGTGGCAGATTATTCCAAATCTGCCTCCTACAGAGTTTCTTAAACTTTCCTCTAACTTAGTACTAACCACTGCCAGAGACAGGATACTGAACTAGCAATTCCTGTGTTCCCATGAAAAATCCAAAAAAGGTCAGAGCCACTTTGAGGACAGTGGAGGGACATTGCTTGCTGGCTTTTCTGCCAACCACAGGCTTAGGTCTCTGGTCTCCCAGTGGCTCACTTTACATCTGGTAAAGATGCTCCTGCCTCATTTTATGTCTGGAAGTGACAGGGCACAGAATGAATTAATCTCAAACCTATTGCTAGTGGACAGACATCCACATTATAAAACTGTCACCACAGTGGGATTCTGAAACAGAGACTAAAGACATAAAGGACATGGAGTCTGAAATACCCTCTCAAACCGAACAAATGGAATGCTGCAAAAACAATGTGAACGTTCTTTCTTATTCTCAACTACTAGTTAATTGTAATGTTTCTTCCCTTTTTTATTCATGAATGTCTGTGTAAATAGATGTTTTGTTTACATGAACATTTGGGGGATGGTTCTTCTTCATGAGCATACTTATGTTTAGATGTGAACAAGCATGTTAATTCATGGACAATAATTCACCATCAAAAACTCTTTGGAGCTGGGACTGTGCATTCATGTGTGTGTGTACAGCACCTATTACAATGGGGTTCTCATATTGACTGGGACTGCTAGCTATTTTATTATAAATACTTATTATTTGCTATTCATCATTCTATATTGTCCTAATTTTAAAAAATTAGGACAATATATCATTTAATCAGAGAACAAATTCAACAGCATATTACTGGGGTGACCAGTCAGACACCATTAAATATGAATAGCATATTGCTGAATTGAACCATTCACAACCTGAAGACTTAAGTTTGATAATAAGTTGTTAAATGTTCATCCAAACTAACTGTAAATACTTCTGCAAAAAGCAGGTTTGGTTTCAAAACAATTCATGAACAGAAAACATGGTGAAATTACTCCAATAATGTATCGATTATAACATGACTAGCCCTACTCTAAGAAAACCTGAGAAGTGATGCCTTCAGAAATTGATTGAAACACACAGTTGGATAGAATGGGCTAATTTGCACTGTGTGTTGTACTTCTTCTGGTGATACAGGACTGGTGGTTCAGCACCTTTCATAAGCACTAAATGCACTCAAAGGTTTTTAAAAAGAATGCCTCTCCTTTCTGCCCCTTCCCCCCCACAACCCAAGTATCTATTTCTATATCTCTATTCAAGAAGTTTACCTGAGGGTCCTGCATTCACCCAAACCAGCCCATTCCCGTTAAAGTTTGTTTCTTGCTTACATTGCTATTTCAAATTCCTACCCCACAAAAGACTCTATTACACACAAAAGATTTGCCCCTGGACAAAATTCTAGAAGTGTGAAGTCATATATTCTATCTGCTGAATTGTCGTAATCTATTTGCACACACTGGCAAACAACAAAACTCATTAAAATCGTTTACACTTCATAAACACCACAAGATAGAAGGCTAGATAAATTCTGCATTTAACTTTATCAAAGGAATTATCAAACAAAGCCAAAGAAATTGATGGCTTTTAGAAACAGAGTTTTCTGGGGTTATGTGAAATCCGAACATAGCCATAAATGCTTATATGCAAAATGTAATGTAGTGGAAGATTTTAAAGATTTAATGCAATAGCTTTTAATACAATTACAGATTTGATAACAATCACCCCACTAAATAAATACTTACCATACTCGTTATCATAGAAAATAATGAACTTCTGCCAGGCGTATTCTGTGACCACCCTCAATATAACATCATTTACATAGACGGGTGGGCGGACAGACAGTGTGTAGTCATCATTTCGATTGCTCCTGGTGAGGCCACAGCCACTTCTTGGAGTCCCAGCTGTTGAACGCTGGATGAAGAGGTGAGGGATGTGCATGGCATCTGCCAAGGACTGCAGGGATCCCGCCGACGTACAGCCAATGGAGCTGACAAGGGCCAGGATGCCTTGGTTCATAAGGTCGCATGCTGTAGGAAAACACAATGATATTCAAGATGACAAGGGCAGTTCAGTGCTCACAGCTTATTTTTCTGCTGAAACAAATAAATACTGGGAGCTGACATGAAAGAGCTTCAGTGAAGTAAAAAGAAGTTAGCGTTCTGTAAATTCAATAATCTTGTCTACTATAAAACAGACCAATCTAAAATCTACCTTTTGCTATAAAAGTCAGGAGGTTTGTCTATTCAGTTCAAACTGCCTTACCTATCATCACTACCAAGAGCAGTCAGACTGTTCCTTCCCCTGTCCTGGAAGTGAAACTCAGCTAGAACATAAACTTATTCTATAAATATAGCCTTTGGAAGACTCTTACAAACTAAACCCAACTATCAAAATAACTGGATTTTCTGGGGAGATAAACACTTTCCGAAGTCCAGCATGCCCATTCTGGGAATAAGATATTTGCATTACACATGCAGAACTTGACAGAATAACAGCTCAGACTAGCTGTCAACTTTTGAAGGCAACTGAATATAGTCATGCACATTAGCTTGCCCAGAAAGAACCAAAAAACTGAATGGCTCTTGGGTTATACAAGAAATGTACAGCATATGTGATCTAACTTGTCTGTTTTAGTGTTTCAAACAAAAAAAAAAAAAAAACCACCCACAGTCTTACAAATAGAATGCTGCTTTCAAAACTTAGGGCAGAATTTCTGCAAGTTTTCCCTCCTCACTTTTTGGAAAACCATGTTCATGCAAAAAGTAACACCTTGTAACTAATAGCCCAGTCAATGAAGGCTGAGTTACAGCAGAAGTTCTGAATATTACACTAATGACATCCACGTGAATACCAAAGGTACTTATGATTAATGTTAATGCAATCAATCAATAAAAAGAATAAATAATTATTTGGGCTATAATTTTGAAGCATTACTCTGTGAAATAAAGCACAGAGTGAAGTGTTTCTTTTGTCTTTCTAATTGAGTTGAGAGCCAGAGCAAGTCAGCAACACCAGCTTGTAACGTAAGAGCACAAATCAGGGACAATTTTTTAAATGCCTAATTTGAGACTAGCAAAACTACATGTGCAGTTACC